TCTTTCTTTGTAACCAGATATTTTTTATTTTCCTTAATCCAGTTATTATTATGTTTTTGCTTCTAACCAATCGATCAGAAAGTTTTGCCATTATAGTTTCTTCTATTGTGTTACTAAGAGTTGTTGTGTTAACTGGAACTATTAGTTTTATACTTTGGAGGTTTTTAATTTCAGAGTCTAACTTTCCCATGTGTTTGTTATTTTCATTATATTTACTGATCAGGGTATCTATGTCACCCTTCATTTTCTCATTTTCGAATCGAAGACTATCCATTTCGGTCTTAAGATCTTTTACATGTTCCTTTAGTAAACTGACATCTTCCGATATCTTGTTTATAGTTTCCGTTTGATTATTGTTAATCGATGTTAGAATTTGCATGATTTCTGCCATTCCCTTTCGCTAAATTTATCTTTAATATCTTGGTCACTAGTGTGTTTCCGCTTGCTACGAAATGTAGCTTGTGTCGCCGTATAAACGTCTGTGGCTGAATCTCCCGTCAATAAATTAGGGCTGTGAACCACTAAGTCCGGCGCCTATAACGCTTCTAGTAGCTGAGCGTATTGGCATCATATTGATCCATGGCACGTATATTCACTCGCGGCGTACTTAGCAGTGTAATGTCACAATAGCGTACGGCAGTGGATGCCGATTCACTTTATGCACTTAATTAACTTAAGAATCAAGTTCGTATAAGCTTATTTTATTATTTTTGTGATTACAACCGATAACACGTCCACTCTGTTTGATGTCGCGCGCGGTCCTATAATTATGTAGAATATATAGTAATTATATATATAAAAAAAAATAATGTATAAATGGCGTACGCCGAGTAGTGTAGTGAGACGCTTCGTGTAACTTTGGGCTACTTCGCGAAGTCCTTTGACTCTGGCGCAAAAAAACCGACAGCGATCGGAAGTCGTCCGAAGCGAATCGAAGTACCTCTACACTATTCTCCTCGGCCAACTTCGATCTCCTTCGCGAGTAGTGTAGAGGGGCCACAAGGACTAAAATGGATAGCTTCTCAGCTTGTAATTATACTGGCTCTCTATACCTACCTTTCAGACCGGAACGCAGCAGCGCACGCACTACTTTGTACATTCACTCAACAACAAGTCATTCTTTTAAATAAATTATAACTTCATATTCTATTCATACTCATATTCGTCATAAATATGTTTCGGTTCTAGATCATTTGCTTGGTTGCAAGGTCTTAACATTTTTCTACTGCTGTTGAAAGCTTTAGATTTCCTCTTCATTTAATGTTCATGTAATAAATAATTATAATTTTGAGGGGGTGCTAAGAATCTCCGGTGGAGGTTCGGTTGCCACCTAAGACGACTCGACAACATACAACGCACGCACCCTGAGGACTGACGAGAAGATCGTGGAACTGGAAGAAGAGATAGACAAGTTACGCTGGCATATTATAGGATTATCCGAAGTGCGAAGAGAGGGGAGGACACGGTAGTCCTCGAATGCGGCAACTTGCTCTATCACCGGGAGGGCTACCATCTGTCCCAAGGAGGTGTCGGATTTATTGTCCACAAGTCTCTCGTTAACAACGTTGTAAAGATTGAGAGTGTGTCGACGACGGTTGCGTACCTTATATTCAGAATCACCAAACGGTATTCGCTGAAGGTCATACAGGTTTACGCACCAACCTCGACACACCCCGATGAGGAGGTGGAGGAAATGTATGAGGATATATCTAGAGGCATTCCTCCAAAACCCAATTACGGTGTTAATGGGAGACTTCAATGCAAAACTAGGCACAAGGGAGAACGGTGAGATGAAATTAGAGAAATTTGGAATAGGGCAACGGAACCCAAGGGGCCAGCAGCTGGCTGACTTTATGGAAAAAGAGGGACTCTTTATGATGAACTCTTTCTTCCAGAAGCGGCCCCACAGGAAGTGGACGTGGTCGAGCCCCGACGGTTCCACAAAAAATGAGATTGACTTCTTTATGGCGACCAGACGACAACTGTTCAGTGATGTCTCCGTGATCGCGAGGGTGAAAGCTGGTAGCGATCACCGAATGGTTAGAGGCTCACTGAACCTAAACGTTAAGTTGGAGAGGTCTCGTCTAATGAAGTTATCGCTTCGTCCCCTTCGTGCTCTGTTCCAAAGTCCTGAAACCTTTCAGCTCGAGTTACAAAATCGTTTTCAGTGCCTAGAAGACTGCAATAAAGTGGACAATATGAATGACAAGCTCGTGGAAACTGTCCATGCGGTCGGCGCTAAGTTTTGCAAGTCCCGCCGCAGAAGAACACAAACTCTCCGATCACACTCTCAATCTCATAGCTGTCAGACGGGAGATGAAGCTACATTCTTCAATAGATTTCACAGCATACAGACGACTGAACAGACAGATCTCTAAATGCATGCGGAGAGACTTACGCAACTTAAATACAGCTTGTATAAGTCTTTGCTAGAGATCTGTCTGCCAGAAAGAGCCAACTGTCAAAGCTGTAGACCGAGTGTGGCAGCATCGTTTCCGGGGCACCTGAGATTTTGAGTGAGATTGAGAGGTTCTATGGGCAGCTGTACATGTCATCGTTGGAGCCACACGCAAGTGTGAGTAACGCCACCTAAGCCTAAGCACCATGCTCAATGACCTCAATAGTGTCTCTCAACGAATAGGTCTTAGGATGAAGATGGACAAAACAAAGACCATGTTTAATGTCCATGTCACACCTATGCCGGTAGTTGTTGGGAGCACTAAGCTCGAAGTTGTTGACGAGTATGTTTACCTGGGACAAATGGTCCGAGTAGGTAAGTCCAACTTCGACCGAGAGGTCAATCGACGGATTCAACTCGGCTGGGCAGCGTTAGGGAAACTACGACACATCTTCTCGTCAGACATACCTCAAAACCTTAAAAAGAAATTGTACAACCAGTGCGTGTTGCCAGTGATGACTTACGGATCTGAGACGTGGTCCTTCACTGCTGGCCGTATGAGGAAGCTCAAGTTCGCTCAGCGAGCTATGGAGAGGGCTATGCTCGGGGTTTCTCTGCGTGGTAAACTTAGAAATGAGGATATCCGCAGTAGAACCAGAGTAACCGACATAGCCCAACGGATTAGTAAGCTGAAGTGGCAGTGGGCCGGCCACATAGCTCGAAGAACCGACAACCGATGGGGAAGAAAGGTTCTTGAGTGGCAGCCTTGTACCGGTAGGCGAAGTGTAGGGCGAACCTCCACGAGATGGAGTGACGTCCTGGTAAGACATGCAGGAAGTCGATGGACACGGGTGACTCAGGACCGTGCTTTGTGGCATTCCTTGGGGGAGGCTTATGTTCAGCAGTGGACTTATGAAAGGCTGTAATGATGATGATGAATTTAGAGTAAATAATCAGATTATATAAATTGCCTGGCCATTGCCATTAATTTTTTTGAAGTATTTTTTTTCGTAAACAATACTAAGTTATTTCAGTCCACGCGAATACTAGTTGCACTGATCACTATCTGATACCTTTTTCGTCTAATAGTATAACTAGGTGGTAGGACTTCATTTTTGATGAGTCCGTCTGTGTGGGCATCATCCTCCTACTTTATTCCCGCCGCCAAAAAGCAGTGTTGTTACGTATTACTATTATTTATTCTGTGGTGCTGTACAGGCTGTAAGGCATTCAATCTTAATCTTCAGAGGTGACAACGCATCTATAGACTTATTTCTATAAAGTTGGCTGCAGGTGTCAATGGACTGCAGTAGCCACTTACCATCAGGTAGAGTTCGTTTGGCACTTCAGTTCTATAAAGAAAATTACATCTGCATTACGAATAAATAGAATAGAACAGTCACCTAAGTATACAGTGTGTAAGAAAGAGTGTTGTGGAACACCATAAGTACTGTTTTGTCCTTATATAGCTAACCGTATGCTGTAAGGACATTTACTATCCATGAGGACTCCCGCGGTCGGTTTAATTGCATTGTTTGACGTCTATTTATAAGGACATGTAACATTTCATTTCATTAACATTTCCTGTCCACATATTATAGACATTTGTGGACAGGGAATACTTAATATGATCGTGCATGTTTAGTGTATAGTAAGTGGTATATGACCATTTTGAAATGAATGAAAAAGATAATTTCTCGAGTGCATTGCATCGTACAATTTAAATACGGTACGGTAAACACGTGCCTACATTAATTTGTTGTCGACTTCTATTATCCGATCCATATGACAAATAGGATGTTGGACCGGCCCTTTGTGCTATCACTTACCAGTCATTGTTAGATTAATAATCAACAAAATTAAATGATATGGTTTCACGATCACGTTATTATTTAAGGAAATTGTAAATATTCATTAAAATAATAATAATAATAATATAATGTAAATGTAATAACAATCATCAATATTCGCATTTCTCTTGCAGGGTTCTTGTTTTGAACTATTTTCTATAGTTAAGACCTAATGTAAATGTCGCAGCCAACTAGCTTAATTAGCCTTTTTACTAAAGGGCGCCGTTCAACAATCGGCGTGAATGGTATTCATTCAGACGACGCGTTTAATACGACATTGCAACTATCTTGTGATATCAGCGACCGTAGGTGGTGTGGTTTGGTGGCCTTTGGACCACCCGGAAGCTGCGTATATTTATATAATATACCACATAGTGCATAATTAGGCGCGTAGGCTGAAACGCTGAATTTCAGGCCGCTAGTTAAACGTAAAAAGGCTAGGCTGTTAACTGAAAGGCTAATTAAGCTAGCTGGCTGCGACATATACAACAAGTATTGTAGGTAAATAAATTGAATTTACGGCTCCGTGACGTAGTGGCAAGGACTTGCGAAATTTGGAACCGTGGGTTCGAATTCCGCACGTATCAAGTATTTGTATGGCCTACAAGTATTTTTTTCTTTTCAAGTATTTTTTTTGTCCTTGTGAAATGTATGTATGTAAGCTTCCTCAACGATACAGGAAAAAATCCAAGTGTGGTTGTAACGTTTTTAAAAATATGAAGTGTTTAAATGTAATCATACGTTGTCCACAGTGCGCAGCTACGACAAACATGACAAATGCGGTCTGGTGTGGATCCCGCGCGTGGTGGCGTACCGCTGCCGCACGTGCGGCATCTCGCCCTGCATGTCCATCTGCCGCGACTGCTTCCACCGCGGCGACCACTCTAACCACGACTTCAACATGTTCCTGTCGCAGGCCGGCGGCGCCTGCGACTGCGGCGACAACTCCGTCATGAAGGAGGACGGGTGAGCAACACTCCTTTTCTTTAATATACAAAACGCCAATCCCCGTCTTCGCACTGGTGATTTCTGGATCTCGACAACAGTGCCACCTACCGGGTTCAATTGTGAATCCAAACCACCAGCACAAACATACCCAAAAAGTTTCGTCTAAATCGGTCCAGTCGTTCTCAAGTGATGATTTTTTATACATGCGGTAGTTGATTTTTATTTATAGTGTAGATTGAACTGTCAAATGAAATTACAGTTGGTCGATAGTAAGTTGCTATTGCAGCTCATGAACACATGAAACCCAATTTCAAACAAAGAACGCTACATGTCATCTTTAGGAACTAAGACGGAATTTTTGTTCGCCTACTAAGATTATGACTTGAGTCATCATATTATCCTAATTATTGTCTGATCTATTAATCAAAGTACCTGCTGCAGAAGCTAACATTTTGGATTTTTTTTAGTATAAAGGTAACAAACAAGCACACAGTCCACCTGATGGTATAAGTGGATGCAGTGGCCCTTATACATTTATCCTCAATTATAAATCAGTATAGATGCGACCATAAGCTCTAAGATAGAATGCCTCGTTATCATTAAAAATTGTATCCAGTTCTCTACACTCCATAATAAAACGATTTTACACAGATATTCTGTGAGTGCATGGTCCTTCCCCGTCGAGTCGACCCATTCATGCTGCAGCTATAATAAAACTACAGCGACATCCGAAAACATACTTTTCTCGTACTTATCGTAACGGCTGAAGTAAAAATGCTCGTTGATTTGGCCCGCCCCTTAAGATTGTCTGGAAATGCAATTTGGGTTAAACAAAATCCCATATTTATATTACAGCTAAAAGCCGAAGTGTAGTTACATCTAGTAGCTGTAACTAGGAACAGCCGATTGTGATTTCTTTGTTAAATCGGTTACCACCTTAAGACGTGTTATAATACTAATTGTTGGTGTTTGGATCTGGTAGTGTTGTGGGTGTTACGGACACCGCATTCTAAGCTGAATCCGATTTTATCGGCTAGCGCTACCTCGCACACGAGGTAGAAAGTGAGTGCCTCCGTGTTCACGTGTGGCACTATAATGCGATATTTATTGCCAATATAGGTGCAGGTGATATTAACAGTTAGCAGCTGCTGAAAGTTGGAAGTTTTTGTCGTGGTTTAACTCAACCAATAGGATATAATTTATTAAAATTCCGCACACGAGTTTTTTTGTGATCGAAATCTAAATGTCTCAGATTCGTAGCTGAAAAAGCTGACAAAGATATACCAGATATACCAAAGCAATGTTATAATGAAAATAATTAAATTACGAAGAAGTGACCGCGTTTATTTTCACTGTTAAATACGCATAATGCAAAAATCCGTATGCTGTCAGACGGTAATGTACATATTGACAATGTTTACCTGTATCTACTATTTAACCCGCGAGTAGTCGCGCATGGGTGGAAAAGACCCAGTACCTTGTTTCTTGTTCCATAACTTTTTAAATGTTGGTTACTATTCAAGGTCGCGCTCAGTACCTTTAAGCTACAATATAGGCTACCCGCATGCCCCACCTCACTCAGTTCACGCGCGGCGTTTGGACAGCACGAACGTATAAAGTGAGTATGGGTCGTTTCGACCCTTACGCGACGGTTTGTGTAAGTGTATTATTTTTCTTTAAAAATATTTTTAGTTTATTTTTTCTTTGCAGAAATGTCGCGTAATATTTTAGACGATCACAGAATTCAAGAAATTCTAGAGGAAGATGGTATTGAAGGAGAAGTCTCTTCAGAAATTGAAGATAACTTAGAGATCGACGATGACGACTCAAATTCCAGTCAAAGCGGCGATGATGATAATTCTGAGGCCGAAGATTTTTCAGAAGGTAATATTTCTGCCGAAATGTTACACAGAAGACCTGATCTCAGTGATGTGCCTCTGAGTTATATCCGTCAAGGATACTGTGTGGGTAGAAATGGCTCCACTAACTGGAGTATTGAGGAACCCCCTAGAAATGTTCGTACTTGTAGCCACAACATTATATTACATGCGCCGGGACCGATTAATGAGGCAAAAGATGCACTTACGCCTTTGGACTGCTGGAGTCTTATGTTCCCTGACAATCTTTTAGACATGGTTGTGACATATACCAATATGTATATTGACAGTATCCACGATAACTTCCAAAGAGAAAGAGACTGCTTACCTACGGATTTGGTAGAATTGAAGGCTCTACTTGGGCTTCTTTATTACTGTGGAAAACTTCGTGGAGCGCATTTGAACACCATGGATTTATGGGCAACTGACGGCACTGGATCAGACGTGTGCATAGCTACCATGTCACGACAAAGATTTCATTTTTTACTTCGTTGCCTTAGGTTTGATGATCCAAATACACGCGAACAGAGGAGACAAAATGATAAACTGGCTGCAATTAGAGATTTATTTACCAAATTCGTTGAAATTATAAAGAAACATTACTCTTTAGGGGATACAGTGACTATTGATGAAAAACTGGAGCCATTTCGTGGTCGTTGTCCATTTCGCCAGTACATGCCGAAGAAGCCTGCCAAATACGGAATAAAAATATTTGTAATGGCTGACTCAAGAACTTACTATTCGGCATGTTTAGAAGTATATACCGGAAGGCAAAATTCAGGACCACATGCTGTAAGTAACTCTCCTCCAGATGTCGTGAAACGTTTGGTTGAGCAAATAAGAGGGTCTAATCGTAACGTGGTAATGGATAATTGGTTCACGAGTATCCCATTAATGACAGAGTTGTATGAAGATTATGAGCGTACGGTTGTAGGGACTCTTCGTAAAAATAAACCAGAAATACCCCCATGCTTTGTTGCTACACGAAGACGAGAAGAATGGACTACCTACTTTGGCTTTAAGCCTAATTGTACATTAGTATCGTACTCACCAAGAAAGGGAAAAGTGGTGCTTCTTGCTTCTACAATGCATCATGATGCGAAAATAGATGTTGATACAGGAGATAAACGCAAGCCAGAAGTGATAACGGATTATAATATGCATAAATGTGGAGTGGACGTGGTTGACGAGATGTGTGGTACATATTCTGTATCAAGAGTAAGTAAAAGATGGCCACTAACGATATTTTTTGGACTTATGAATGTGGGATGTATAAATGCGTTTGTTATTTATAACGCAAATATAACGCATATAAATCAAGAACCCCTCGAAAGACGTAACTTTTTAAAAGACATAGCTTTATCCCTTGTTAAACCACAAATAGAAAAGAGATCTTCTATTACGACTCTGCCCAGACACATTCGGACCAGAATGTTTCAAGTACTTGGCAGAGAAGAAAGTACAGATCAAACTGCATCGGCTGGGCCTAGTAACATTCGTGGGAGGTGTTCCACCTGCCCCCCTAAAAAGGATAGAAAATCCAAAACTCAATGCCAAATATGTAAATCTTTCATATGTAGAGATCACACCGCATTTTTATGCATTAATTGTAATCAGAAAATGAGTCAAAGTAAGATAAGACGGCAAGAAGACTAATTAGAAAACAAATAAGAAATATTTTGAGAAAGATTTCTATGAGAAGTTTGAAAGCTGATTATAAAAAAAAATGTTATGTTAAATGTTTTATTTTATTGATTGTTTTAGAAGAAAATTTATTAGTTTTTGTAAGAATAATGTTTTTTTTTTTCAGTTATACTAGAATAAAAAAGTTAGACTGTGATTCTGGTTCCTATGCATAAAAAAGTAAGATTTAGCACTTAACTCTTTGCTATTGTGATAAAAATAAAAAATAAATCAAAATATATAAATATTTGTGACTCATTATTGTTTTAGTTACCCTTTTCTTTTACGTTTATATTAAAAATATATAATTCCCTTTATTGGCATAGAATAATGCATTTATCTTTGGGGTCTTTTAGACCCTCACGCGACCGCTTATGTCACAAAATGAGACGCGAGTACCGGCGGGTTAAGCGAAGTTAACCCATTAACGTGTGCATAAGCTCTGTAATTATAGTCCCACTCCGTTAGAATACGACGTGAATAGAGTGGGCTTGATTTATTAGCTAATCAATACAAGATTATTTTTTTGAAGAAAAGTCAATTAATAAAAGATTCGTATTATTAATTATATTTAGATGAGTTATCCATTTTTTTAGAACCCTAAGAAATTCAAATGTATACTAGAAAAGCGCTTATCTAATTTAAAAATGCCGAACATTGAAAATCCGCTGGTTATACAAATGAGAAATTAATAAAATACATACGCAATAATATTGGCAAAAAGTTTCATTTTAAAAATTTGAACTTATTTTTTTTTGGAGTTTATGGCCTTGTATCTAGACCTTTAGGCCAAGTCTTAAGTATTTTTATTCGGTTTATTGTAATTTCCCCACTCCTTCATAGTATACTTATTCACAATATGTTGATGCGTCACATTGTGCAGTTCTTGGGAGATTTTGGCGGCAACTTGATCCAGCAGACAGCTGATAGTTGGCGATGGTATCTAAAGGTGCCTATGCAAACAAACAGCTTATCTTGAGAATCCATCACCATCAGAGCACTTGTTTCACTGTTTCCACTAATAGTTCACATGCGTAGACACTTAATACACAAAATCGCAATACTTTTACATATCAAAGTCCACTTCGAACCATTATTTAAACAATAATACAGGAGCAGCAAACCGCCGCCGGTCAATTTCCCGCCAAAACTCCTATTTTTTTATTATATCGTTTACAAGTGGCCAGTTCTAAAAACTTTCAGTGTCGCCCTCGTATCATGACAGAAGCCGAAAAATTTAAAACGTACTTTTAGACAGGGTGAACTTGATATATAAAATAAGACGCAGTAGAGAGCAGAATGAATGTAAGTAATGTGAGACGGAGACGGATTAGAAGCCACTTTACTTTAAAAAATCATAATTTCCTCATCCGTACTCATTCGTAAACAATCCAAAAACAATATTGAGCCTCTCCCATAGGGAGAAGTGTCAAATACAGTAGGAAAAATGCTAGAGCA